TCAATCTTTTGCTCCAGACAAAACATCTTTCACATATTCTTTCTTCTAGTTCACACTGCCTACAGCTGCAATGATAATAGTCTTAATTTAAAGGAGGAAAATAAAGATCACTCTTTTCTTTTTCAGTGCATAGTGTGGGACTGGGACTCCAATGGCAAGCATGACTTTATAGGAGAATTCACTTCGACGTTCAAGGAGATGCGAGGCGCAATGGAAGGGAAACAGGTAAGTGGAGAACCATCTGTGGTATTGCCCCCAGGTGTCCACTTGAAGCATCTTCAGCTACAAATGGAACAGTTAGAAACAAAACTTCAGTATATGATTGAGTCTGATAAACTGAGAGAAGTTGAGCATGGTAGTATATGACTCAAATCCCAGCATTGTGAGTTCAAGGCCAGCCTGGTCTACGTAGGTAGTTTTAAGGCCACCCAGGGTTACTTAATGAGATTAGCTCAGAAAGGAAGGGAAGCAGGGAGAGAGAGAGAGAGAGAGAGAGAGAGAGAGAGAGAGAGAGAGGAGAAGAAAAGAAAAGAGGAGAAAAGAAAAGAAAAGACAATAGAAGTTGCTTCCCAAGCCCAACTCAAAGCCATTCTATAACTTTGGTCAAGACATTTCCCATGAATGGTAGTTTTCCTTTGGTAAAATAGAGGGATTAAGGAGAAAATGTCTAATTTCCTTTAGCTATGCAGGAAAGGCTGCATTACCATTAAAATCAACACTAACTTGTGCTCAGTCACTCTCTAGATAAGAATAAAGAGAAATTGCTGCTGTATTAAATGTCCAGAACCAGTCTCTATCATGCTAATAAGTCAATGACAGCTTATCAATACCACCTGCTGGAATTCTAAAGTGTCTTATAAAAGTTTTGTCATGTTTAGTTCTATAAACATAAATAGCCAAATCAATAAATATGAGAAACATTTCATCTTGAGGTTCCTAAGAAAGAATTAAAAGTAAGATTATAGCATCTATCATGATTGAAAACCACCAAAGCTAGATGCTTTCAGACAGAGATAAATCTTTAAGTTCTACTAAGGACATGAACCACATGCTATTATATTTTTGTGTATCAGTGAAATATCAGAAAAATGTAGTTCTACCACCAGCCCTGTGTTGACACATTCACAGAGTGGGAGCAATTATCTTCTTTATTGAACCTACAATATTTGCTGTGCCTGGCTCTAGGCGTGCTGTCCCTATCATGCCAACACTGTCTCTGCTCTCTGAAGCTTACAGACTGATGGAAGTCAAAGTCAAATCTAAATATGAATCAAATAAACACAAAATTTAAATGCAATAATAACTTTGGATAAATGTTATTTTAAAAAATGGAACTGGTGAGCCTCCAAGCCTTGATGAGCTGCTGAGCCTGATGACCTGAATTCGATCCCCAGGTCTCAGATGGTAGAAGGAGGGAACCAACTCCAGTAAGTTGTCCTCTGACCTCCACATGAGTACATGGAGCACGATAGAACATGTATGCACCCATCCACACATATGTACTCTAATAAATATAACTTTAAATTTTTATTTAAAGACAGAATAAGTTTATTACCAAAGTATTTTACAAGAGATTATCTGAAAAGCTAACATTTAGCTTGAGGCCATTTAAGGATGGAAAGAAGCCAATCAGGTAATAAGTGAGAGAAGAGCATCTCAACCAGTGGGAAGAGCATTGCAAACTATTGAGGCAGGAAAGAGCTTGGTGTGCTTGAGCATTTGGGAATAGGCCAGTATAGCTGACTCAGAGTGAGGTGACCTTGCCTGGAAGGTGGTCAAAGTCAGGGCAGAGGCCAGGAAAAGCAGACTGTAATAGAATCCTCTAAACGTGATGACATACTCAAAATGTGCCCTCCAATACAGTAGCTACCAACCCCATGTGGCTTCTTATGTTTTAACTAATTTAAATTAAATTAAAGAAAATAAGCCGGACATGGTGGCACATGCTTTTAGTCCCAGCACTTGGGAGGCAAAGGCAGGTGGATCTCTGTGAGATCGAGGTCAGCCTGGTCTACATAGTGAGTTCCAGGCCAGCTGGGGCTACAGGGAGACCCTGTCTCAAAAAGACCCCCAAAAATTAATTAATTAATTAAAGAAAATAATTAAATCTATCCATCAGTCACATTAGCCACTTTCCATGTGCTCAGTAGCCACATGTGGCTACTGTTATACCAGATGATTTGGATACAGTGTATTCACACCATCACAGACAATTTCATTAGGCAATACTACAAAGGGTAAAACTGGTTGCTTTAGAAGGCTGGGGAGGTAGCTCAGTCAGTAAAATACTTGCTGTATAAGCATGAGGACTTGAGTTCAATCTCTAGAATCTATGTAAGAAAGCCAGGCATGGGAGCATAGTCCAGCACTGGGGAGGTTGGAACAGGAGGGTTGCTGGGGCACACTGGTCAGCTAGTCTAGCCTATTACTTAGAGAGCTCCAGGACTATGAAAGACCCTGTTTCAAAGACAAGGTTGACGGTTCCTGAGGTTGACCTCTGGCCTTCATATACATATGCATATGCAGAGAGAGAGAGAGAAAGATGGAGAGAGAGAGAGAGAGAGAGAGAGAGAGAGAGAGAGAGAGAGAGAGCTGTATAAGCATAGAGAGAAGAGGGAGAGGGAGGGAGTCAGGGAGATCTGTTAGGGAGCTCTCAGTGGGACAGGATGTGAAAATAATAATGAAATAGTACTGGAGATAAACAAAAGTAGTGAGATTTAAGACACTTTAGAAATAAGAAGCTGTGAGATGTGTTGAGGGATTGGAGAAAGGGAGAGAGGAAAAGGATGATATAAGGATACATGATTTTATAAAAGGGGGGTGGGGCTGGAGAGATGGCTCAGTGGTTAAGAACATCTATACTTCCAGAGGACTTGGGTTTGATTCCCAGCACCCACATGGTAGCTAACATCTGTCCAGAATTCCAGTTCCAGGGGCTCTGACACCTTTTCTGGCCTCTGCAGGGCAATGCATGCACGAGGTGTACTTACATACATGCAGGCAAAACACCCATACACATAAAACTTAAATTATATGTAAAATTTTAAAAAGATACAGGGATCCTGAGATTAGGAAGTTTTATGACAGGAAGGACCAGTTTGTGAAGAAAATTAGAGAAAACCTAATTCAGGTTTTGGAGAAACTGCCGCACAGAGTTGCTTACCTGAAAATGTGTTTTGGGAGGTATCAGGCTTGGAACTGAGGAGCTCAGAGTGCCGAATCAGAGGCAAAAAGAAGAACCCTGTCATTCAAGATCCTGTTCCCCACACAGGTCATGGTGCTGAGGGTCCAAGGCAATTTCTTAAATAATCTTGATTAATTCTTGAGTCCGCCTCATAAGCATCCTTAGTGTGTGATGATCAAAGGGAAATTTTGCAAGTCCCAATAGGAGACCCCCCTCTAGGACCCTCCTAGAGGGAGGCATTGTGATCAACAGAGCAGAATTTGAAGCAAGACTGATGTAGTGTAAGTCTCAGAGGCACCAGTGACTCTAATGCCTGCTTGGGCCACCTGGGGATGTGAAGCTACCGTGCTATCTGTTGCTGAGTAACAAATTACTTGCTAACTTCCTGGCTGAAAACACCAGTTATTACTTCCCATTTTCTTGGTTAGCAATTTTGTCTAATTTACCTAGGATAACTCTCTCTGTTCCTCATGGTCCAACTAAACTCTCATGCATTTGTACCCTGGCAGCGTGGATGGGGTGTCTCTCCATGTACTCTTTTTATCCTCGACATAAACTTTTTCACCTGGCAAAATAAAACTCAGAAGAAGAAGACAACGCCAAAACACAGGTGTTTTTCCAGCTTCTGCACTTACCTCATTTGTTAATGTCCCATTGGCCAAAACAAGTCACAGGAGTAATGTGTAGGCATGGAAACTAGGGATCATTAGAGGCCATTCAAGTGTCCATCTATCTTATTCATAGTCTACTTCAGAAACTGCTTCATCTTCAGACACTTTGGATGGTCTGGAGTAAAATTTTGTCTCCCTGAGGAAAGCTCAAGGTTCAGCCCCTCAAGATCAGGGGTAGTAATGTTCATTGATGTTGAACTCACAATTCATTTTGTCCCGTGAAATCTTCCACAGGCTGGAAAAGCTGCAAACTGTTCTGTGTAGCTTCCAGCCAATTCCTCTGTTCTTATCCCTCCCCCGAGCTCTGAGCCTATCCTTCAAAAAGAGCCTTCTGGACATTTATTGTGACACAAATAAATCAATTTAATATTTCAGTTCACAGCAACATTCTGTATGAACTCATGAATAGCCTTACTAATTTGCTGTAGCCAACACTCAGTGTCCCTTGGGTTTTCTATCCTTTTTAATTTTTTAAAAATTTCGAACAATACATTTTATCATATTTAGAATCCCTTCCCTATCTATCTGCACCCCTCCCATCACGACTCCTCACCCAATTTCATGTACTCTTTTATATAAAGTCAAATTCATGTCCCCAAATGCCCTTTGGTGTGGGTCCATCCACTGGAGCCTGGCCAACCCACCGAGTTTCAACCTTAAACAAGACTGGCTCTGTCCCACTCCTAGCAGTCCTCGGTTGCCAGTAGTTCCGCAGGTCCGCAGGTAGTGTTTTTCAGACAGCTGGGTGGTTTACTCGTATGAACTCACAGCAATGGTAACAGCCCGCACAAGTCCCTCATACAGGCAAGTCAGATGAGATCCCAGTGTGGGGAAGTGGGGAAGAAGCCGCACCTCTACCTGAGGCTTGGCTATCTTTTACGCCATTCCCAAATCCTGAAACTTAGCATTTGGGCATCGCTCAGTACATGTTTGCAGATCACTTCACTCTGCTGCCTACGGTGACCCTAGGGATAGTATGCATTCCTATGCACCAGGCACTGATCTAAATTTATCTCATTGACTAATCATTTAATTATCACAATAAGCCCTTGAAATACATATCATTATAAGCCTGATTTTAGAGAAGAGGAATCCAAGGAGCAGGAACCAGCAATCTGCCTAAAGTTACACAGCTGGGTAATGAGGGAATAAGAATATACACCAGGCAGTCTGTTCATCGCTTTCATCTCTCCTCATTACTGTTCTCCTGGTTGCAAGGTTACCCCCTAGAGACCGCCTGCCAGCCCTCCTGTTCCGTGTGTGCAGCAGCAGGGACAGGCTTGACCTCACTAAATGGCTCAACTTCTCCAACAGGCTCTCATGCTCTGACCCTTCTTGCCGCAGGTGCAGTGGGAATGCATCAACCCCAAGTACAAAGCTAAGAAGAAGAACTATAAGAACTCAGGCATGGTGATTCTGAATCTGTGCAAGGTATGCGTGTAGCCCTCTCTTCCAGGAGAATGAAGTTAAGGTTGTCTGGGAGAAGGAACCGTGTGATCAAAGGGAAAGTGCTGTCACAAGGAAATGACTTTCTCTAAAACAAAAATCAGAAAAATCAATGTAATGTTGGGCCAGTGAGGTGAAATACAATTAATTGTGGGTGGCCTAAGAGCTGTGCTAGCCCAATGCCACCATCTATTTCCCAGGGACATTTCTGCCTTAAAGACAGGAAAGTTCAGGTCAAGGTCAGGCTGCTCTGTGCACAGGGACGCTCTAGAGAAAAGAAAGACTAAGTGTGACCTGTCACTTACTCTAAAACAGTAACAACCCTTGGAAATATGGTTCTGGTCTCACCCCAAAGGCAGAAGTAGATTAGAACAATCCACAAACCAAAATCAAGGGGAACAGGCATGGGTATATGCAGCCCTCTCAGGCCGGTCTGTATCAGTGTTGCTTTATTTCTCTCTGTTAATGCAACACAATCGACAACGCCCCCTGCCTCTCAGATCTCTTTCTACTCCTTCCTCTGGCTTAGCAGCCTATCCCCAAACCTTGGGCCTGCAGTCTGCAAAGAACACAGATCTTGCTGTTATTAATCCACATCTTTTCCTATGCAGATCCACAAAATGCATTCCTTCTTGGACTATATCATGGGTGGCTGCCAAATCCAGTTTACAGTAAGTTATTTCCATGTTTGTTCTTATTCAGGGAAATGGTGTTGGGTTTGGGGACGGTGATACAAAAGCTTCTTAAAACTATGGGTCAGCTTTCAAGCCTTATTGCTGAAATATTACATGAAACCATCGTTTTAAAATGAATTCCTATTCATTCCTCTTCCAGTGAATAGGATTTATGCCCCTTAACCTCCTATGGTTTGATGAACCCTCCTAATGCTTCCCCTTCCCCTTCCACATGAGGATGGAGTGTGAGGCAGGGAGTGGATTAGAGTTCCCATCACTGGGCAAGAAGGATGGGAAGACAGGGAGCCACGCTACCGCGTTCCACCGAGCTAAGGCAGGTGGTTTACTTATGCTCCTGTGACCAGAACAAAAGTGTTAGTGTCATTCCCAGAGATCAGAGTCAAGGGTAAGCCATATGAATGGTCTCTGGGGCAATGAAAAGGTGAATTTCAAGACTAGAAAACCAGGTTGAAATCAGGTTCAGAGACAGTGGATGTCTATTTTCAGTAGGTAGGTTAAGGATCATTTCCTATATGTAATCTGTGTTCCCATGGGATTTGGACACTACTGATGTGTGTTTGGGTGTGATGAATGGATCTTTTTAAAGTGTTTATGAAGGTCAGGATTGTGAGTCTATCTGCCCTGGAACAACTTGTTTTCACTCATTTAATATTCAAAACGTTCTAAGGTATAAACAGATATAACGTCCAGAAAGAAAATGCCCAGATAACAAAATATAGATATGCTGAAACCAGTGGGAAAACCACATAGACACAAAGTAAGAGAGACAATTTGTACATTTACCACTCATTTTACAGGACTGTATTGGTAAAGCTGAGCCCTCTTTAGATCAAATCAGTTATGTGAGAAAAGTATAAAAAGTGGGTTTAATTTTTTTGTATGGGTTGGAGTTTAAGACAATTGCTAAAACCCATGTATCCTTGAGACCAGAGATAGGGATGGTCAAGGACAAAAAAGGGTTAGGCCCAAAGGAGTGAGACAAATGGTCTTTTGATAGGCCAGCCTCTCCCTAGTTAGAGACTTCTTCCATGTTCTAATCTCAGAAAAGTCTACCTATGTCCCGCCTAAACTCAGGCATTACTTGTTTACTTTCGGATACTTACAGGAGCCAGTCACTGATTTAAATCCTAAGATTCTCCAGTGATAAAGCCACTCCACCCTCCTGCACGCACAGTGCTGCATATAGAAGGCACCAAGAATGTTTCCTGTGGGTACAAACATCCCCAACACCACCTGCTCAGTGGTCTTATCCCTGTTCTGGGTCTGCATACATGGCAGTAGTGAAGCAAGAAATGACACACAGGAGGGCCGCTGGGAAGAGTTTCCCAATATATCAGGCAAAGGAGTGACTTCAGGAAACTAAAGTTTCAAGGGAAACCTCTTGACATCCATTTGCTTTAGATTCTGTAGATCCTATGCCCTTGAACGACTCCTTATTCAACCTACAAGGGCTTGCTTTGCCCTTGGAGCTGTGTTGGAAAACACCAGCATCAAAATGTCCCCAGAACTTTAACCTTATGGGGTTCCCAGCACCACATCCTGACTTGGGTAGACCTGTGGCTGCCTGACTCAGGAAGGTTGTCTTTCCTGCTTTGTTCTCAACACTTTCACTTTGATGACCTTTCCCAACTGGGTAGGAGCCACCTCAGTGTTTCTTGCCAACAGCACCCCAAATTCTAGCTTCTCACCTCCTCCAGTGCCAACTGATGGGCCTGGGGTTGGGAGGAGGGCCAGAATGAGGACAGCAGTTGAGAGCAAGGAATGAGAAGAGGAGAAGTAAGCTAGCGCTGAGAAGGGACCAGGCCACTGATGCTTTCCATCACGGCCCTTCCTCCTGTAGACCTCAGGTGTCTAACCAAAGTTAGTAGAATGTCTTCTCAAAGAGGATTGAGAGGAGTTCTGCACATTCTGTTAAAGAAAACACATCAGCCACTCCTGTGGCATTTGCCTCCATAATTAAGCCAGCTTTCTCATTATAAGGTTCTTATTGCTCACGTAGTACAACCTAATATAAATTTTAAGCTGTAATACAGTTCATTAAAGCAGCATGCCGTTTAATTTGGTCTATGGGTGCTTACGTTCTGCCCAGTAATTTTATTGTAATGCATGGCAACATGAAAAAGAATGGCAGAGAGTGTGAGAGGTAGAGGGCGTGTCAGGGAAAGGGGACGGAGAAGTGTTGGGTTCAGTAATTGCACCTCTGAATCTTTCAGAAGCAGAAATTCCCACTGGCTCATAATACAGCTTCAGTCAGAACAAACTTGTGTCCTGAAGAAAGATATCTAGGAATTAGAGGTGGTAAAGTTCTAGATGTTCTCCATGTCACCCTGCACTAGCCAGGTTCTCCTGATTTTAGCTATTGGCTGGGTTTGTCCAGTGATAAGCACCAGTCAGAGAGCAAGCAGGAGAAGCAACGTACAGGATTTGGTCCCCTGGATTGACACTTTCCAGGTTGTGGCTTGCTTTGTCCCTCTACAGACACAGACAGACCCAGTTCCCACCACGTGCTGTGTTGTTCAGACAGTCCTCTTGATGAATTTTGGAAACTGCTGTGCCTACCCTTTGTGGTTGGCTTCTTAGAACCTTTTCTACATGTTTGTGAATTGACCCTTTATTAAACTCTCCTCAGTCACGTCTTCTGAGTAGGCTGTCTCCCATAGACTCTGATCAGCTCATGAGACATGCAGGGGCTGGGAGAAAGCCTTTGTGTCTTCCATGGAGCTCCTGATCAAACTAAAAGTGTTAAAGGTGAAGAGACTTCTTCCAACACCAGGCTGCTTGAAATAATTTTGATTAGCCCTAAACCTTCCAGGGAAAATCAGTTTTAGAGGAAAGAACAAGTTGGATGAATAAGCACAGTACTAAGGGTTTTGTTCTTTAAAAAAATCCCCATAAACATATGTGTTTATCTACCTATATATTCAAATGATAAACGTCACAAGCTTATTTGAGTTGCTACAAATAGCTGGATGTATTCAGGAGAGCGTTGGGAGAGGATTTGGGAGGCAGAATTTGAGGTGGATCTGAGTGTTGAGGTAATTTCATACCTGAGGGAATGTGTTAAAGGATTAAGACCAGAGCATGAAGCAACAGCCATATGCTTTAGAGAAGTAAATCTGGGAGGGGAGGGTATCAAAAACTATTTATCAAAAGCAATTGGTGGTAGCGAAGAAGTGTGAAAGGCAAGCAAGAGATGCAATCCCACGGCAACAGGCCTGAGACTAGGTCACAAGAGGCTGACCTAGTCTGGCAGCAAGAGGAAGAGGCTTTGTGGAAAGACAACAAGCCACAGCCAATGGCAAGGCGGAGAAGGAAACAAGGCGTATGGTGACTCCCACTCTGCCTGACGGTGTTCTTCATGGAAATCTGCAAGTCAAGGGGCTTATGAAGAAAAAAAAATGGGTTTCTTCTGGGACTTGGACATATGTTTGGGTATCCCGTGACTAGTACCTACAAATATAAACCTAGGTTTCAGAAAAGAGGTAGAGCTGCCCATATTGTAATCTGGATGAGATCAACAAAGAGGATACAGGATACCCAATGACAGGAAATCATGGAAGACCTCCATCAGGCAGTAAAAGAAAAGATACCAAAGGAACCAGAGGTCCAGAAGGAGGCAGTACCTCAAATGACTAGGAAGAAAAAGCTATCCCAAGGCAACAATACTGTGTGCTAAAGAGAAGACAGAAGGTAATAAGCAAGGACTGGGGTACGGATGACCAGTCATCTTCAAAAGAACAGTTTCAGCAGAATAAGGTTGTGAGACTCTGGAGTCAGTGTGCAGGCAGAAGGTAAAATGGCATCACGGATATGAATTCAAGAGCATTAATGAAGGGAACGCAAGAGGGCAAAGGAGGCTGGCAATCTGAGGATGAAGAGAGGGAAGTGTTAAGTTACAATCAGACCATAAGCAGAAGAGGGAAAGAGACAAAGGATGCTGAGGGGCTGGAGTGTGGCTCAGGAGTAGAGTGCTTTTGTAGCACATGCAAGGCCCACAGTTCAGTCCCCAGCATCATGGCACAAAACAAATGATGTTAAAAGGAGCCTTGGTCAATGATTCTTATTCTTTTTTTGGTCATCAGGATGTTTGAGAATCTGATACATAGCCTGTGTTATATCACTAGAAAACATACATACCAAATTTTTGCACACAATTGAGGAAGGTCAAGAGCACTCTGAGAACAAATCTCTTCTTACAAGAATCATGGAGTCATACCTAGATCAACTGTGGCATCACAATCTTGAAAGAGGTGAATGGGGAGGGAGGAACAGAGAGAGGCACTGGGCTTGACACATGGTACTGCAGCTAAAAATAAAACCAGATGCTAGGATTTCACAGACAAAATAGTTATAGACAGCACAGAAGAGACAGATGCTGCAAAGTATTTGGAAAGGAGATGGTAGAACTAGAGGCTTCCTTTGAAAGCTGAAGCTTTTAAAGATGCATAAAAATGTTAATTATAACATGGGTTTTTCACAGACAGGAACTTCAAAAGCTTAAATGTCCGACAGTAAAATAACAACTGTATAAATTACAGTACTTCATTTAAATGGACTGTGATAAAGCCGTTTTAAATTATAATTACAAGGATTAGGTAATAACATGAAGCTATGTCTATGATAGTGTTGAGTGAAAAAGAAAAACAAATGTAACAGAGGACCACTGTATGAGTACAACTGTGTAATAGCCATGTCACTATATAGAATGTACAATGCATAGATATAGATAGATAGATCAATCGATAGATAGATAGATAGATAGATAGATAGATAGATAGATAGATAGATAGATAGATAGATAGATAGATAGATAGATAGATAGATAGATAGATAGATAGATAGATAGATAGATAGATAGATAGATAGATAGATAGATAGATAGATAGATAGATAGATAGATGAAAGATAGATAGATAGATAGATGAAAGATAGGTGATAGATGATAGATAGATGATAGATAGATGATGATAGATGAT